GTAGTACTACTAGTAGTAGTACTACTACTAGTACTAGTACTACTAGTACTAGCACTACTACCAGGAGTAAGATAATATAGGATATATCCTATATATAGGTCCTATCTTATCGGTTCAAGGATAGAGAACATGGGTCCCAATAAAACCAATGTCATTTACATCAATATAAATATAATATTATATTAATAATAATATATATAATTAAATATATTATATATAAATATATATTAAATATTATCTTACTCCTGCTACTACTAGTACTACTAGTAGTAGTAGGCCTGTTGGCTGTACCGTAGTATTTGGACGCTCGCCCGAAACTGGACGCTCCTAAGTGCGCATGCGCGCATGCTCTTTTGTTTTTCTCTTGTTTTCTTTTTGTTTGAATCTCGTTTTGCAGGGCCGTAGAAAATAGTAGCCATGCTCTTTTGTTTTCTTTTTGTTTCGCTTTGTAACCTAGCTGACACACATAACACAGTCTTACTAACTTACTACATTGCAAATTGTTTCAATCAAATGTTTCCATGAGTGACTGGGTTGGCCGCCATGTTTGTTTATTGCGACCGTTTTCGATGGGCGAGATGCGCAGATGACTACTGCGCATGCGCCCTTGCAAAACAAGAGGCGCCTGTGCGCATGCGCACTTAGGAGCGCCCAGCTCCGGGCCAGCGTCCAAATACTACGGTACAGGCTTACTTAACTAGTAGTAGTAGTAGTAGTACTACTACTAGTATTTGTACTGTAGATGTGTGTAGTGTAGGAGCAGTTATTGAATTCCTAGGTATTTCTAGAATCCCTAGATATAGATTCTCTCCCTTCCTCTTTAGTAAATTGTAAATTTGAGGGTTTTCTACTGCGATCTGCTGTGTTGATCTGTCTATTTCGATCAACTTGACTCTTTCTGTCTTTGAGTTGATATAGCCCTTTGGACTTTCAACACCAGTGTTTCCCCTGCATTGACACGAGCGAGGCGGGCCGCCTCGCTCAAATTCTCAGCCGCCACACAGAAATTTGTCCAAACCGCTGCCTCACTGACGAAACTTGTGACAACTTGAAAAAGAGATTCAAGAGTCTCATACAATGTGTTGAGAATAGCTTAGAATGCACGGACAAACGCACACTCAAAAAATTCCCGGAGCATGCGCCGGACCCCCCTAGCTTGCCCAGCACTAGCTCTAGTACTATAGCTCGCGTACAGTTGCCACAGGGCTATAGAGCATTTTATGCCAGGTTTCGTAACTGCACCTGTCCCCTAATGCTTCCACGAAAAATGGCTTACAAAACGCAGAATGATCGGGCTTTTTAACACTTATTTATCTACATGGACATCTCACTTATCTTTTGGAACATTTTCCACAACTTTACACCCTGTATTTATGCATTTATTCCTCAAAGTGCTAGCACTACTTTCGTTTCGTTTTCAAATGTTGTTGTGTACACGCGTGACGTCACCCGAAATGTAGACAAAACATGGGCAGCTATGATGCAGCCTATTACATTTCGGGTGACGTCACGCGTGTACACAACAGCATTTGAAAACGAAACGCAAGTAGTGCTAGCACTTTGAGGAATAAATGCATAAATACAGGGTGTAAACAGGTTACTAACTTGTGGAAAATGTTCAACAAGATAGGTGAGATGTCCATGTAGATAAATAAGTGTTAAAAAGCCTGATCATTCTGCATTTTGTGAGCCATTTTTCATGGAAGCATTGGGGGACAGGTGCAGTTACGAAACCTGGCATAAAATATTCTATAGCCCTGCAGCAACTGTACGCGGGCTATAGTACTAGAGCTAGCCCAGCACATGCGCTGCTCAATTTGCTAGGACCTCGAAATGCGCAAACACATCATACAAAAAACATTTCCCACCTCACAGACCTTTTTGGGCAGGGGAAACACTGAACACTATTAGTATTATTTATGAGGTGACTAGGTATAGATACACTGTTCTAGAATAAGTTGAGGTTATAAAAATCTTTAGGGCACAATTTATTGGTCTAATGATTATATCGAAAGAACATTTCAAACTCCTGTTGTTCAAAAACGTAGTTGCATCAGTTACCAGACTGACAAATGCCATCGTCACATCTAATACTAATAGCACAAGTAAATCGATTACTGCTGCCTTGCTCGCAGTAACTTAGCACTGCCCAAGTTATTTACAGAATTACATGCTATTCTCTAAATCAAAGTAATTAACAAGAACACATTCCCCACTATTTGCTCCCAACATGGTGGGACTTACCGCATGCGGAGTGGAAATATGATGGTTGATATTCGTTTGTTTATTTACTTCGTCTCATGAAATATGCAGTGCTTTCAGTGAACTGCGGTATAATACCCAATAAAAAGGGTGGAGTTTTAATTTAAAAACAAGCAAAAGTTCTATTATAAGCCAATAATTTTCTTAGAGATATGCTGTTGTGCACAGTCAACAGTTTTTATAGCGGTATAAGATGCTCCAATGGATGGGTGGTATAGGCTGTGAATTTTAATTAGTGTCACAGCCTGGTCGGGCTATGCTAGCGATCGGGTTATTGTCAGAGTGATGATGATGAGATTTTTACCGTGGTCTTAACGTGGCCTGTTATAGCATGTGATTCTTTACTAAATGCACTTGCACTGGAGGCAAAAAGGTTGCATCATCAGAATAGAGGTTAAAATTATTGGCGCATGCCAGTCACTAATTCTATTTTATAATACACAAAGTCACTAAGGTATCAACTTTAATTCAGTGCCTAAAAACTAGGCCCAACCAAACTAAGCCCACAAAGATTTTTTGACATTAGGAATATAGAAATTTTTTCCCAATCAGGGTTTTGCCCATATTCTAGCTAACGCTCCATTAGGAGTGTTCCCAACTTTGATATCGTTAATGATTAATGATTGATAATCCTAACCCTAACCCTAACCCTAACCTAAATGACATTAAACCACAAACTAATATATGACCATATATATATATATCAAGAGTGGATAATAGAGAAGAGTATGACTCGGTTTTAACAGCGTTTTGCATAGTTTTAAACTGGTAAATAATCTATCAATATGTGAATGAATATATTCAAACTTTACCTTGTTTTCGTCTATGATTCTCCCTTAATCATATGACACCACCAATTTACCTGAAAATCGTATGTGTTCTTCAAAAAAGTTATTTGAATACGACACGGGTTCGTACAGTTTTCACGCATGAATGCATCTCTCCGACCGAACTTTCTTATGGGACTAGTGTTCTGTTGTCTATGACGGTACGCTGGGGGCCGTAAGGGAATCAGCTGCTAGCTAGCTGGCCGTGAGGCGCATTTATTTTTAGCACACTGGAAACGCTGCACGCTAAATACAATTCGATGCCTAATATCCCATACGACCCCCAAAGTTCCGTCATAGACAATAGAACACTAATCCCATAAGAAAGTTCGGTCGGAGAGATGCATTCATGCGTGAAAACTGTACGAAACCGTGTCGTATTCAAATAACTTTTTTGAAGAACACATACGATTTTCAGGTAAATTGGTGGTGTCATATGATTAAGGGAGAATCCTAGACGAAAACAAGGTAAAGTTTGAATATATTTATTCACATATTGATAGATTATTTACCAGTTGAAAACTATGCAAAACGCTGTTAAAACCGAGTCATACTCTTCTCTATTATCCACTCTTGATATATATATATGTTATTATGACCATTAATGACATTAAAGTTGGGAACACTCCTAATGGAGTATCACCTCATATTCTTGTAATGGAGCCATACTTCTCCTGCAATTACGATTTTCTTAATTAAATATTAACAGAAAAGTTACATGTTAAATTATAAGAAAAAGAAAATTTTGGTTATAATTTATCGACGTCGATAATTTGCATTTAATTTTCTTAGGTATTAATATATTTAAACAGGAAGAATATTGCATTTAACATTTTCTTAACAATATATATAATTCGGATCATGTCAAACTAGGCGTGACCTAGATCACATCAATTCAAACATTGCTAAGCCTGATATCTTCTGAGATAATTTAATCTAGTTTTTACCAGGTGGGGCATGACATCTTACAGAAAGTTGTGCTTTTATTCTTGTGTCTAATGTTTTATCTGTGGTTACATGACCAAGAACCTGTATAACCAGGTGGATGCACAGTATGCCAGGTTGTAAGTGCTTTCAGAGACATTAAAGATTAATAAATTTTGATTGACAAAATTCTGTGCAAATTGATGTATATTTATTTGTATTAATTATTGTAGAGTTCAGCAGTAATGGTGTGATGGACATCTCACATGTAATCAACATTCTGAGGATGGGTTGTATTTGTGGAAAAGAAACCATTCGTGTTGATGGAAGACAATTCCAAATCAAAACGAGACTAGGTGAAGGGTGAGTGATAAATATTGAATAAAGTTTATGTTGTGCAGCATGTGCATTTTAGTAGGAGAATGATTAGATGTGGTATGCTTTGTAAATACAGAGCTTAGGTGTTTTGTGAAAGTTTATGCTTTGTAAAATGCAGTGTGGAAAAACTTGCAGTGCTGACAATGTGCCTGCACCATAGTGCCACTCGTGTAAATATTTGTAGTCATTTCCGTATCCGTATCTATTGCAAATAGTGGGTAGTTTTAAATGAGACTTGCTAGCGAAATTTTAAAATGGCCAAACTTTAAAATGGAACGCACAGCTTTCTTGTTTCAAATAAAGTTCCAAACAAACTTCGTAATACTAATAGTATCAGTTGAATAGTGCTGTCTGGACTGTTACTGTAACTTGGGGTAAAGGAACAGTAAGCGAAGGAACAAATATGGTAAGCAAAGTAATTAATTTTCTTTGATTTACTGCATGTTTTTTTGGGTAAAAATATAGCAATTTTCTCATTTGCAGTGGGTTCAGTTACATTGATTTGGTGGAAGATGTGAGGACACATCGGCTTTATGCCCTTAAGCGCATCAACTGCCATTCTCAGGAAGACGAATGTATAGCTCAGAGAGAGGTATGCCTTAACCACACTGATTTCCACAGGAGAATTTCTATTAATGATTTTAGCCATTATTCAGATGATATACTGTATTAAACACATCCCGTTTCCTAAAGGAATTGGTTTATTGGCTGAGAAGGATACTGTAATTTTTTATCCTCCCCCCCCCCCTTATTCCATGGCAGGAAGTATTTGGAATGGCACTTACATAAGTTGTAGCTATGTATATGTTGGTTGATATATCAGGATTGCATGAAATTGCAATGTTATAAGTGGGGATATAAGGTCATAACAGGAAAACAAATCTTAGGTTCAAATACTGATGTTAAGCATGAGAGACCAAGGGGGTTAATGCATGTGAATGACTATCATTTCAGGTGGAAGTTCATAGAGCATTTCCAGGCCATGACAATATACTGCAGTGCGAGGAGTCGGCGTTGTACCTAGTGAGGAATCCGGCAAAGAGTCTTATCAGTGAAATGCTTCTAGTTCTCCCCTATTACAGAGTACGTGAGTATGCAAGACTATAAATCAGGGCAACGTTTCACTAAGAGTTCTATGTTTGCTATTTAACGAAGTATTTTCAGCAGAGCCATAACAGAGAACCTTAGCGAACAGAGAATTTTTTGCTTAATGATGTTTCTGTTAAGCCTCTGTTAAGTTTCAACAATAGCAGTAGTATTCGCTGTTACACTGTTAATTATATGCAAATTTTTGTAGTTATAGCCAATAATGCTGCGAGGCACAATCTATGCCATTGCTCGAAGGTCACCAGGGTTAGATAGCACTGTGAATCATGCATGTGGTTTGCAATGGAACACCTGGGCATTTATCAAAGCACGCACGGCTTGTACTTATGTTTACAAACAATAAAAGCTCTATACTTGTCAGTGAAACAACATGTTTTGTGAGAAAAGGATAGTTAATTCCTTCATTCTCCCTATACTTTATATACTATTACTATTATACTAATATACTAATATACTAATATACCCTATACTAATATACTTTACACAGCCCATTGTAACACACACACACACACACACACACACACACACAGACACAGACACAGACACACACACAGACACACACACACACAG